CAGCAAAATATATAAATCTAAATAAGTAAATTTTCCTTTAAAAAAGGGCATTTTTTAGGCAGGTAAGTGAGTCACTTTTTCAATGGATCAAGAAAATTCACATTTAAAATAAAAAAACATTGCATTGTCTTATTTCAAGTGCATATCTAATTCGAATAGTATTACATAATATGCAAATTATTTTATTTTAAGGGCAAAATACTCATTCTATAGGCAGATCATATTATTTACTATTAAATTTAAGGATAAATACACTAAATGTAAGAAATTTTGACTTTTTTCTAGATCTTTTTGTAGTGAATGAATCTCCTGTGAAATGTTAAGTAAATTTTTCTTTAAATAAGTGTATTTTCTTTTGATTTGAGGAGGTAACAAAGACAAATGCCCAATAGAATTTGATGATTAATGTTTCAAAAAAAAAAATCTCTTAGTCTTATTTCTAATATCTAATTGTCTAATTTTAATTTTCTTATTTTATGGGCAAACATAATTATTCCATTGGCAGATCACCTTGTTCATCTATAATAATAATAATAATTCATTTAATTTATACTGCACTTTTCACCAAAAAGGCCTCAAAGTGCTACAAAAAAAGCATTTAAAAAAGCATTCAAAAAGAAATACAAAGAAATAAAATAAATTTAAAATATATATATATATAATGAAAGAAAAATATAAAACAAAATAATAAAAGCTGTTTTAAAAGAGAAAAAAGAAACATCTAAGGGGGACCAAAAGTTTTGCTAAAAAGAAATGTTTTAAGGCCTGTTCAAAGTATGTAAAAAATATCCTTATTTTAAGCTCTTTTTATGCCTAAGATTTGGTGACTTTATCATAGTGGAAAAACTACAATTTCTGTCAGCATCCAGGAGACCAAGGAAAGGAGACCAAGCGTTGGTGGAGAAGCTTGTTCAAAGTAAACTGTTGATTACTCTGGAAAAGCAATAATAAAACATAGAATGTTGTAGTGGGATTTTACCTTAGTTGGCATGACTGTAAGAAACTGCTGCATGAGTCTGTTTGTGTACATGTTGAACTCTTTGACTATGAAACAGAACACTTGTGTAACCTTCTACACCATCTAATTCAACAATGTTTTTCAAAGAGAATCTGGGTCACAATTACTTCTTCGGGTAAAGAAAAGATCTTTGACATCGGTTTACTCAATTGCAACCCATTGGATCTCGTTTAAACACTAAAAAGACAAGGATTCCCTGAAAGCTTCAGGTCTTTATTCAAGGACATTTAAATAAAAGACTTTTAAGGATTTTTCTACCTATAACAATTAAACAATTATGTTTGTATTTTAATCTCAAGTTTGATTTCCTACATATTTTTTGTTTGCATAAAATTGTTAAAAATATGTCAAAGTGAAGACAAATTTTAGCATTAAAGGTATAGTGGAGAATGTTCTTTTTCCGGGTGGATCATCAAAATAAGTGGTCCACATGAAGGCAGCATTAGTTTGTGAACTGCTGCAAACAAACTGTCCCTCAAGCACAATAAACTCCTACAATTCAGTTACTATTGATGCTATAGGTATATCAAAGTTATAATGGAGGATGTTCTTTTTCTGGGTGGATCTTAAAAATAAGTGGTCCTCCTAACTGTCAATCATTCTGGTGATATGCTTACGTAAGACCGTCCCACATGCTCATCCCAACTTTCACCTAAATGGTGGTGAGTCTGACATTGGAAAAAATGCAAATCTTCTTTTGGAAAGTATGCTTGTATGAGCGATGCAAACAGCAACTTTTAAACAGAGCGTGCACGAGGAGAAATGGGTTTGTGCACACTCTTGCATGCTTTTAACAGGCGTCCCTCTCGGGAGTGGGTACCAGGTTGTTTATGTGCATATTTGTTTTTTTTTTAGAGGAGAGGGCGGGTCTTTCCAAAAATGCGCTAAAATTCTCCACTATACTTTTAACACCTTTAAGGTAACAAGTTAGTAGGTTTCTGATTTCCTTCCTTACAAAGATGGATATTTTTTCATTTTGTCACTTTACAGCCACAAACTGGTCTGTAACAGTGAGGTTAAAGGAATTTGGATGCAAAAGGATTTTTAAAAGTTTTGTCACCCTCATTTTCTTGTATGGATGTTGCTCTGCTGGAAGGCTGCATGTGTTTTGCAGCCTCTGACAGGCTCTGGCAGTCGTGAATTCCATTTTCCCATCAACAAGAACTTTCATGAATTGCTTTCTTGCCACTTTTCCATAAAAAGTCCAAATTTGTGAAGTTCGTGGCTAATGGTTATCAGTCCTGTTGAAAGTTTCTACTGATTGAGCTGCTGATTTCTGTAGTGCCTCCAGAGTTTTCTTGGGCTTCTTAACTGCTCCTGTAAGTAATGTTCTCCTCAGCCAACCTGTCAGTTAAGCTGACTGGTCATGTCTTTGCAGGTTTAAGTTTAGGTAAGGCCAAAGTATTTCTATTTTCAGGGGAAGAATTAAAGAATAATGCTCAAGTTGTTCAGGGTTTGAGATGTTGTTTTAGAACCTGACCCTGTTTTTACAGTATATTCACATCCTGAGCTGTTCAATTGGTTCCTTGTTCATGATGAGTTCTGATTGTACACTAATGTATGTATCTTCAACAATCTTCTTTGGCAATTACACAGATTTCCCTCCACTTGTGTAAAAAAATAAAACTTTAACACTGCTTACCTGCTGCTAGTACTCACATTAATCAAGCTTGTTTACAATTGCCTATTCGGGAGAACTCAGGTCAGGATGACATTTGCATACTTATCGCAGAACAGTGGGTCAGGCATCATTATGCGATGACATGACATCTCTTGTGAAATTGTGTGAGTTACACTTTGTTTTTCATAAAGTACAATTGCTTTTATTTTGTGAGAAGTAGGTCCTTCTAAAATTAAGTGTTACTTCTTTGTTGTGTCTCCATTTAGTTATGAGAGACAAGTTTTTGTTTTGCTACCAAGCCATACTGCCTCCCTCTGCCTTGTGTAATTTTTACATTAGAACCGTTCACCCATAAGTATTTAGGGATAAATCCACACCTGTGCTTTGAGTTGTCTCTTTATTTAAATGTTATTTGGGAGCAGGCCGGTCTCTTAGTATTGACCTTTTCACTGCCTATTAGCGATATGCTTGAATTTTGCTTTTGTTTATCGCTGTAACTGCATTCCTGAATTGAGGGGTGAGTCACTGCCTTGTGTTTGCTTAGACAGGTGTTTACCCCCCTTTGTAGTTGTGCTGTTTCTTTTTTACACACTTTTGACAGTTGAGGCTCATTTCCCAAAGGAAGGATCTCTTGAGCAAAGGTAGGCTTTTACCGTAAAGGTCCCTATTTGTCTGTAATGGCAGACGTCTCATTATCCTGAAACCTCTCACAGAACACATGGGTGTTGGTGAATAAATGCAAGCAGCTACAGATATATTCAAGAAGCTTGTTACAGGCTGGCCTCTCTAGCAGAGGTTGAATATTTGGATCGAGCAGTTAAGTGTAATAATAGTCTAACCAGGCAGATAAAAATGACTCATGAATTTGTTCTATTTTGTTTGCATGGTCTCTTCTCGTCTCTTTGATATAGAATACTAGCCACTTCATGCCACTGCTAAACTCATGAATAACGACTCCCCTATTTCTGCAACCCCCAAGCTCAGACATAGACTGACTAAACAATAGTTACCAGGAAACCAAAGCTGGTTTCCATATTGCTTTACTGCTGTTGAGACTCTCCTTCCGTCCCTTCTATTTGCATTCTGCATTTAAACAGAACCAAACACAAACTGCTTAGCTTTAACAGAAGCAAAGTGGAAGCAAATTCTGCAGTTTGAATTTTTGTGTTATATTTTCAAATGATCTTACTACAAGCAGATGTCTGGTATTTTGGTTGTAATCCAGTGAAACGTTTATCTGAGTTCCTTTAAAATAATTATAATTACAATATAATTACAATTCAAAGGGTATTTTTTTTTGCCTTATTCCTACTAAACAAAATGTATCCAGAGTCTCAAAACGTATGTAAGGTTGAAAGACATGCTTGTTATATATAAAACAATTTGATACTGTTTAGAAAACTGGGAGAGAAAAAAAATAGTAAGATGTGTGACTCACAGATAGCAAAAGCTGGCTAGACAGGCAGGTATCCCAAGCAGACACCCCTCTCAATGAAAGAACAACAAAAATAGTTAAGATGTCTACAAGCTTGATAACTGTGAGCCAGCAAGTTAAAGTGTGGACGTGTAAAGAAGATAACACAAAAGCCAGGCCGTATAACCTTCTTTTCATTTCCAACAATAAATGGCTTGCAATGACAGAAACACGATAACATGTATACCTATCTAAATAAGTACAATTTATTTATAAAGCACTTTTCACAGATAAAACACATGGGTATATATCACATACAGGAAATGTACAAAAGTATAAAATCCACTATGCAAAGTTTTCTTTAAAAATTTTCGGTTGACTTTAAAAATTGACCACGCAGTCAACCATACAGAGGGACGGAGGCAGCCCTGGAGCTACAGCCTTACAGGATAGATCTCCCTGAGTTTTAAAAAACTTTATTCTTACAACTTATACCACTAACTTTAGAATCAATACAGTAAGTGACTGTGAGGTTTTTAAATTTTTTGTTTTAAAATGGTAGTTAGACAGAATATGAGCAGTCTGAGCTATTCTGTGTCTTTTGGCATGCTTTTTTTCAGAAGTAGTACATTTTTAGGTTACCAAACCAAATGTGTTTCCAAAGATTTTGCTTTTCTCACAAGCAGAATAAGGTTCCCAAAATCAGTAACAGAGTTTGCTTTGCAGCAAACCTGCCTGTAGCTTTTCTACAAAGCTGTTTGCTGGATTAATGTAACGGATGGACAAAGAGCCTTGCACTTTTCTCTCTCTCTCTCACTCTCCCCCTCCCCGCACTGTCCCTGCAGTTTAAAGCGTTCCTCACATGACTCTGTCATGCCCTGTCTACTCCTCCTCATCCACACCCGCCTCCTTACATTCACCTCTCTCCATCAAGCTGAACAGCAGCCAATGCTTCACGGTGCTCCTGCCCTGGGTGTTTGTCCCATGCCTGGGAAGCACAATAAGATTAAAGGCTTCACCTGAGAGGAACCAAAGGACCATTTTTTCCCCATATTTTTATGATCTAAGGTTCAGCTTGAGTGAAAATTCCACTTCATACATCTTTGTTGAAAAGGTAGGTTGTCTAAACTTTAAATAAAAAAGTGGATTTAAAAAAATATATATCATTAGGTTTCATTTCTGTTTTATTGTTGTTTTTTAGAGCGTTACTATAAATGTAATCCTTTAAATCACAATATGTATAGGAAACCCAGCAGAAGTAGTAAATTGGGATTATTTTTTCATTATTCAAATGAAACAAGGATGTTTTTATTACTATTGCAGCAATAACCACTACAGCACAGACTGCGTATTTAAATATTTAGAATATTGTTACTAGCTGAAATGTTGCTGGACTTTTTGAGACACGATGCTTTCAGGACCAAGGACAGTTCTTTTGCTTTTGTACTCTATGTACAGAAGTCCCAAGTTTGAATATACTTCTTAACTGTTTAACCTCTTAACAGCTTTCAACAACAATAGTACAAATATACATGAAGATGTTTTGTCAAATATAAAAGATTTGGTCGAATAATTTACTAGAATGCATAATAATAAATTATGTTCAGCTATATGTCTCATAGTGATAGGGTTTAAGTTTGTTTCTTACTGAAAACATTTAGGAGCTTTTGATCATAGATTAAATGTAGAGAGCAGCAAAAAAACTGTTAAAACTCTTGAAGGTTGATTTGAGTGTTCAAGACTGAAAAACCTCTGATCCTACTGTAACTGGAGGACTTGTTTAGCTAAAAATGTTCTTGTTTTCAATATATGTTGTTAGGTTATTGTGCTCTGTTACATGTATTATTTTACAAAAGTTAAATGACTGAAAAAGTTAGTAAACCAACGCAGCAGGCTGAGCCTCCTCATATAACCTTATTTATTAACTTGCATTATTTAATCAGCATAATTTTACAGTAGTGAATTTGAAGAAGAATCAACCTGGATTTTATATTATATCATTTGAGTAATTATGAATGCTTGTATTGACTGTGTATTTCTGGTTATAACTTAGAGATTTGTCTTTCAAAGTGTGCTGAGTTGACATTTGTTATGAATTAACAACAGCAATGTTCAAATTCCTAGACAAGTTTTGTCCTTTTTTAGCAGAATTAGTCATTTACAGCCCTGCATAGTATTAGCTAAAGGTTTATTTATGATAAAATGTTTCAGTCTGTCCTAAAATCTATCTTGCTCTTTGACAGTGTGTAGCTATGAACGAGTCACTGGTTGTGAATGACTCCTCTGCAGCTACAGAACCTGTCCCATGGATGGAGGCTGAATCCCTGGACCAACACAACAGCAGCATAGAGTTTTCCACCGCTCCATTAGAATTTCCTATCAACCCATGGGACATCATGCTGTGCATGTCAGGCACCGTTATCGCCTGTGAGAATGCTATTGTGGTAGCAATCATCTTCTACACTCCCACACTAAGGACTCCCATGTTTGTGCTAATTGGGAGCCTGGCCACAGCAGACCTGCTGGCTGGCATGGGATTAATCCTGAACTTTGTGTTCCAGTATGTGATTTCTTCTGAGACCATCAGCCTCATCACTGTTGGCTTTCTAGTGACATCCTTCACTGCATCCATCAGCAGCCTTCTAGCTATCACTGTGGACCGATACTTCTCCCTTTACAATGCCCTCACATATTTCTCAGACAAGACTTTGCAGTATGTGCATCTGATGCTAATCGTGACCTGGGGGGTGTCTCTGCTGCTGGGTCTGCTGCCAGTGCTGGGCTGGAACTGCCTGCATGAGCCAGCCTCATGCAGCATTGTCCGCCCCTTGACCCGAAGCAATGTCATGCTCCTAGCCACTTCTTTCTTTGCCATATTCGTGCTCATGCTGACCCTTTATTTTAAGATTTGCAAGATCGTATGCCGACATGCCCACCAGATCGCCCTGCAGCAGCACTTTTTTGCCACGTCCCATTATGTTGCCACCAAAAAGGGGGTGTCCACATTGGCCATCATCTTGGGGACCTTTGGCGCCAGCTGGCTCCCCTTTGCCATCTACTGCCTTGTAGGTGAGAGGGAGTATCCATCTGTGTACACCTATGCTACACTGCTGCCTGCAACCTATAACTCTATGATCAACCCCATTATCTACGCCTACAGAAACACAGAGATCCAGCGCTCTATATACATGCTTTTGTGTGGCTGCTTTCAGGCTAATGGGTCCTATCGGTCTCGGTCCCCAAGTGAAGTCTAAAAAGGTGCTTCTGGTGCGTGTGGAAGGATTTGGTTTGTGTGTGCATGTGTGTGTGTGAGTGTTTAGGGGTGTGTTTTTAGAAAAGAGAGAGCAAAAAAAAACAAAACAGACAATTGGCTTATAGCCGACTGTGAATGCTTTTCAAACACAAACGGGGCATGGATACTGTACCTGCACTTTAATATGTCTCAACACAAGTTCCAAGGAGAGGTTAGAAATGCAGTGAACAAGAATTCTTGTTATTAAAAAGGACAACAAATATGTGAATGTATTTAACTGAGGAATTAAAGAGGAATGGAAAATTAAATTTGCACTTTATTAAGTGTTTTTGTTTTTGATACCAAAGCAGTATTGTTCAACTTTGGATGTGTTTGAGCCTGTGTTCATCATGTGCCATGGTTTTTCTATTTTGTATCGTGTTGTCTTATAAGTCCATTTTGTATCACACAAATAAAGGAATAACGTTCTACTTTCTTGCCTTTCTGTGTCCTCACTGATGACAATTTCTTCTCTTCCCTGTGATCTGTTTTTATTTATTTTTGTTAGGTGGTTCTGTTTGAATAGGCTTATAGCCTACTATAAAGGCAAGTCCTGATAAATAAATTAAAATTAAACCCAGATACATTTATATCATTTGCTCACGGGGCATGTGTGTGAAGTTTCTACTTAAATTTATGAGCTATGATTCAATCTACATACCCTTCAAATACAACAATAATCATTTTGGCTGTCTCTGTAACTCTTCCTATCTCTTCAGAACGGAGTTATGACTCAGGAGCAAAGCAGCAGCAGGCACATGCCTCTGTGTGTGACAAAGTAAGGCCAGCAATGATTATAAGCTTTATGCCAGTTCTCTGCAGCCAAAAACATGATAGTTTATCTGGTAAGGTGTTTAGGCTGGTAGAAGTCAGTTATCGGTGTGCCAAAGAGAAGCAAAGGCAATGTTTTACATGATAAATGTTTTTATTAGTTTTTTTTCCCAGCTTTTATTGTCATTACACTGTCACGTACGTCAAGTACAAAGCCTGGAAATGAACTATCTGCATTTAACCCATCCCCTTGGGGAGCAGTGGGCTGCTGTAATGCGGCACGCGGGGAGCAGTGTGGGGTCAAGGGTCTTTGCTCAGGGACCCAGGGTGGCAGTGGGCTTGAACTCAGAACCTCTGGTTTCCTTGCACCTTAACCACTAGGCCAACTTGCACTTTATTTACTTTCATTTTTGTTTACTACTTTTATTTTGATATCACTAGTATGTAGGGTCCAGCTGTACATAATTGAATCTCTGTATAAATCCAGCTGTTCTTTGATTGCCTGGAAGTTTTATTAAGGAACATCGGTGAAGAAATTGCATCTTAAAGACCAAGAAACATAAAATTAATGTTAGGGTTAAAGCTCTGAAGATGTTTAAAACACCATTATATCCTAACATAATGTCCAAAATCTCGTGATTGGAGGAGATCCACAGTGCCTGGTCTGTTCTGAACAAAACATCCAAACAAATGGAATCAAACTGGCATCACACACGATTTTAAAACAGAAACTATTGCTGTATGCTGTATTTAAACTCAGACTTCATAATGCAATTATTCATATAGCACCAGTTTTATCCTTATGTATGCCAAACAGAAAAAGGTTTGGTTGGCAATAAATTAAGTACAGTTGCAAAATCTACTTTTTTTTATTGTTTTACCTCATTTTTAGACAATATCACCTCTGCACAAATGGATGTACAATAGTCTTTTGAGAGATTTAGAGCATTTTAATTATTTTTAGGTTGTGAGTCACAGTGATTTAAAACCAAAAACTCCACTGACACAAAATCTGGCACCTGCTCATTCAAGCTGTTTCAACAAGGATTTGTGAAAACCGTGTCTGTTGTGTATGATGGGTTGCTCAGATTCAAGCTGCAAGAAAATAGTTCACTTGGACAGAAGAAAGGAAGGCTTTCAAAAGAGTCAATACCAGAAATTACAGAGCTGAGCAACAATCCTATGGTAAATGTCAAGGAATCCTTATTGGTCTTTTAACAGTAGTCATTATCAGTACAATATTTGGGGGACATGCAGTTTAAGGCTCCCTGTTGAAAAACTGGTCAAAGCTCAACCAAAGTCTTTAGGATCTAATGCTATATGATAAATAATAATTGAACATCATTGATCTCACAATAGAGAAATTAACTTTCTCCCTTTAACCCATTCCCTTGGGGAACAGTTGGCTGCCACAGTGCAGCGCAATCAGGGGTGAAGGGTCTTGCTCAGGAACCCAGAGTGCAGGCTGTGGGGATTGAACCGGGTACTTGCAACCTTTTCAGAGCGCTAGTGCACTGCTCTAACCACTAGGCCAATACTCACCCACTGTATTTAGAGATAATAAGAGGTCAGCTCAAATCAATGTTTTAATTTACTGACAGAACTACCTGCAACTCTACATGAGTTGATATGTCATAATAATAGTGATGTTTATATATGTATATAAATATGTAGAGCCCTACTTCCCTATTACTGCAAGGGATATTTGGAAAAACTAAATGAGATAATTTATGCGCCTTAAATATCTAAAGTAGGAATTTCTTCCAAAACAGGCATTTTTATTTGAAGAAAACAAAATGTATTGGTCATAAGGTATTATTGGATCGACTGGTTCTGGGCCCCGCTCTACCCTGAGACATTTGACCAAGATTATCCCCGGTGTCGGTCAGGGTGGTCAATTGTAGCAAGAGATTGGTAGTGGTTTAAACATGGTGGTGCACTAGTGCACACAGGGAATAAAGACATGAGACCTCAGTAGGGAAGACCTGGGCTGGTCAACCCCCTATAATGCCCTTGTATGAATCAGAGCAGAAACTATGAGCTTGGCTTTTTCCTCCAACACCACCGCCTAACCTCGTAGATTGGCTCCTGAAGACTGGTCAAATTTTAATATAAACACATTTCTAAAACTCTGTGAAAACATACCTAGTAGAGCTGAAACTACTACAACTGTATAGGTGGAGATGTCATATTATTCAACCTATTAGCAAGCATCTCACTGAAGTATTTTTAAATTGTGCTTGAAGGGCTAATTCCATTTTATTGTTTTACATTTTGCCTTTGATGTTCTTTTTTTGCCTCATGCAGCCTGCTGTTTCAATAGCCAGCAATAACAAAACTCTCTTTTGGGCCATCAGCTGAAATATATTGGTGAAGATTTTCAGTCATCCAGGTCTTGGTCAAGCTTGAAAGGTTCAGTTTAGGCAATATAGGCAAACTTCACGTCCAGTTGCCTAAACTGAACCTTTCAAGCATCCGCCGTAATATTCTCCAGTTGTAAAGCTGCTTTCAGTCAGTTTGTGCCAGAACATAAAATGGGAGAAAGGTGAGAGATCCTGGAGGCCACTAATGGACCACACACTAAGGCCTGGCCACTTTGAGAGGAGACTGTTTGCTCACTTAGTTTTTTTTCTTCACCTCAACAGATGTCACTTTGATCACCCACCAAATCGGGCAAAAATAGCTCCTTTACAGTGCTATAAAAGTAACCAGTGGAACCGGCTGCTGTGTAAATGCAGTGACTTGTTAAACATGTTAAATCATTTTTCTAAATATAGTCTTTGTTACTACAAAGGGTCATAGTTTTAAAT